TTCTTTTCAAACAAAAAACCCCAAGTCGATATCAGTCTTTCCCGCCCGGCAAAAAATGGTGTCGACAATATTGACAAAGCATACACATTCTCAAAACGTAATTGCTTAAACTTATTACCTCTAGGAGAATAAGACTTCTTCTAACCACTAAAATTATGTCTTGTAATAGTTTAATTGGTTCTTAGTTTATAAATACAAACTCATAAAAAAAATCAGATTCAAAATGCTTGAGCATCAATATTACCATCACCAAGAAAACATTAAAAAGAGCTTGATTGAGAACCAACCAGGCCTAATATTTGACCGTCATTTTCATCATATACTTTACAAAAATGCTGCACAATTGAGTTTTGCCGTAAAACCTAAAAAAGACAAAGGTAGAGAGAAAGTGTTTTTATTAATTTACTGTTAAATATTAATATAAAGTATTTGAAAGAATAAATTTATTTTTAAGTTTTATTTTCAAATCGTTAAAGCAATTAAACCAATATTGCAATATGAAATTTAATTATAAACCAAAGATGATGGTTAAAATTCAACAAATTCAATAATCTAATGACAAAATCAAATGGCATAACAATTAAGAAATAAATTTAGTCAAAACATTTTAGGGTAAACTACATAAATGGCCACATAACTATGGGATGGGTCACGAAATGACCATCATTTTCAAATTTGTGTCAATATGACCACTGAAGTATTTAGATGGTTTCAATATAGTCACCTGCCATTAACACTTAACGGATGTGTCTATGTGGCAATTAAAAAAATTGGTATAATCGGGGCACGCGTCCTTGTAAAGTTACGTATTCATGGCGCTGGAACCTTACTTTGTTTTCTTCCATTTTGGTCACTACTTGTGTATGATTTGTTTCCTTGGATTTTCATTTAATGCAATTTTATCTTTTAATATTTTTCTTATGAATTAACTTGAGCATTAACTTTAAAATCTTTTATTCTAGTCATGTATTAAATGTATAGATTAAATCCCTTAGATTTTAGAATTAATCAATTTGATCACCAATATTAACTTTAATTCTTAATTTTTAATTAGGTTCTAATTTCAATTTAATTTAATAAATTTATTTCTCTAATCAAATTGTGACACATGTCACAATCTAATTAGATGGTTTTTATTTTTCATTTAATTAATTTAATAAATTTAATAAATTTTCAATCCAATCAAAAGGTTACATGTGGAATCTTTTGAATTCAAGTGAAAATAAATAAAGATGAGTTTTAACACCCAAGGGAATCCAACTTGAGTCCCAAGGGTAACTTGCGCATGCCTTAAGCGCTGAGATAATTCTTACACTTGTTATTGAGATAATACATATATAACTTGTTAAAGTTTAGGCAGAAAAAATTAAAATAACTTAATTAGATTTGAACCCAAAATTAATTAGTAAACAAGAAAGCCTTAACTAATAAGTTAAATCTAATATTTAGGAATCAATTATAATATATATATATATATATATATATATATATATATATATATATATATATTAGTTAATGATAAAAAAATAAAAACGTATGTCAATTGAGAATATGACAACACTTAAATCACTAAAATAAATCTAATAGTTTATTTATAATTGACTTAAGATTGCACGAACCAACTTACCTCAATGATTAAAGGAATCGTTGTTGTTTCTAATGGTCACGAGTTTGAGCACTAGCGACTGCAGAGTATTTAGAACAAATACTACTTTGTAATCACCTTAGCTTAATAAAAAAAATAATTGATTTAAGATTTTAATATTTTTAAACTAAATTTATTGTTTTCATATTTTTTTTAATGATTATATATATGAAATCATTAAAAATAATTTAATATTCAAATTATATATATATATATATATATATATTATAGTTAATGATAAAAAATATATATTATATATTATAGTTAATATTCAAATTATAATCATAAGATTGTGACATGTGTCACAATTTGATTAGTTAATCTTTGTGATCAAATTGATTAATTTTTGTGATCAAATTAAATTGTGATCAATTTAATATTCAAATATATATATATATATATATATATATATATATATATATATATTATAGCTAATGATAAAAATATATATATTATATATTATAGTATTAAATTAAATTGAAATTAGGACCTAATTAAAAATTAATAATTAAAGTTAATCTTTGTGATCAAATTGATTAATTTTAAAATCTAGGGGATTTAATCTATAAATTTAAAACTTGACTAGAATAAAAGATTTTAAAGTTAATGCTCAATTAAGGCATTAAACAAATCAAAAAAATAATCAAGATCAAATTGCATTAAATGAAAATCCAAGGAAAAAAAATCATACACTAGTAGTGACCAAAATGGAAGAAAACAAAGCATGGTTCTAGCGCCGTAAATACGTAACTTTACAAGGACCCGTGTCCTAATTATACTAATTTTGTTAACTGCCACGTAGACACTTCCGTGAAGTGTTAACGACAGTTGGCTATATTGAAACCATTTAAATAGTTTTGTGATCATACTGACGTAAATTTGAAAATAGTGGCCATTTATGTAGTTTTCCATTTTTTTAATAGTCTGTGTAATTACAAGGCAGTATATATTCAAAAAAAATTAATCTATTAACAACATACACTTTACGAACATAATTATTTGAACCCGAAACATCTAAAAAATAATCTTCAATAAACATAAAATACAAAGACAAAACATCAATAAAAACGAAATAGGGCGAGAAGCTTCAATACTCACCTAATATGATGACAAGTTTCAATAAAAATGGATTTTAATTATCAACCACGACTCTTCCATGAGGTCCCAGCACAGATTCCGTTCACATATCATACACTTAATTGACTTACTCCTTTTGACTTGAAATGGAGAAGGTGGAGAACGGAGGAAAATGAATAAACATACAAACAAAAAAAGAAAATTATAGTTACTATTTATAAAATATCATTTGAGTATTTAATTATATATATAGATAAAATATTTATTTATTTTAATTTTTATTATATATACATGTTGAAATTGGTAGCATGTTGTGCCGTGCTTCCATAGTGTTGTACTTCTATTTTGCATTTGAACTATTAAGATTTTAATCATATAAAACAAAACGTGACACGATAATATTACAATTCAAATAAAACATTCACACATGCATACATCTTTGCATTCACATTAAGAGAGATAAAACCACTCACGATTCCATGCGACAATATAATATAAATGAATCACGTTTTAATTTCAATCTTTTCACTTTCTGCGCACTACTTATATAAACATGCACTACGTTTCCTCTTTTTTTTCTTATAAACTTTATTTGCCTTTTAGATCAAGTTTTCCAATATTGTTTCAGCATGAATTATTTGTGCTTTGTGTTCAATTATTATAGCAATTTAAACAAAGAGTAATCATATCAAATCGATAAAATCATAAAAAGGATAAAATAATTTAAATTATAATTATCATGTAAATTTTATATTATCTCAAATAAAACATATTTCATTATGTGCTAAGTAAATCTATTTTTTTTTAAATAACGGCATTACAATAAATAATATATATAAGTAAATCAAACGTAGATATGTGAATGAACCGAGCTTGAACGGATAAGATTGTGTTCGTTTTCATTTGTTTATTGTTGAATGTGTTCACGCTTGGTTTGTGTTTGTTTTGCGAACATGTTTGTTTATATGTTTAAATTCTAAATTTCATTGTGTATTCAATTTAGTCCTTACCTCTACCAATATTTAAAATGTAATAAAAAAATGAGAACTGGAAAATGAGCTTATAAACGAACTTGTTCATGAACATAAACGAACATAACACACATATGTTTGTATTCGTTCATTTATCAAATGAACATAGCTTTTTTTCATACTCATTTATTTAACTTAACAAATAGTCATAAATGAACATTATACGAACAATTCACAAACATAAGAGTATTTCATTTACCCCTCTAATCAAACGTATGAAATAAGTACATAGTTGGTGAGTGGAGAGGAGGACCAAAGTCCATAAGGACTCCCATTTTTTGACTTATGCTTCAAATAAAGCGGCCAAATCCTTATATTTCACTAGCTCTTGTATTTTCCTTTTTTGTTTTAACTTGCAACTGCAACCATTATGCTTAATATTTACGTCCCCCGGATTATTTAAGTAATTAATGACTACAATTCAAAATAAATGAGTAATTTAAAATAAATAAATAATTTTTTTCTTAACAATAAAAAGAAATTATTTTTTTAAGAAAAAGAGTTATCCATCAATATAGGACAGTGGCCAAGCAAGAGGGGATGAATGCAAGGAATTCGGTCCATTCCATGTTTTTGCAAAGGCAAGGCTACTAAGTCAACCCGGTAGCGTCGGTCCAACCAGAAGACGACCAAATCCTACGTGGAATTACCAATAAAGTCAAAAATCAAGAATTATCCTAACAAGTGGGCCCCCTTCACTTGGTCATCAAACATCTTCGGTTGACTCGGATTACCTTTTATTCCTTTCTTCCATCATGTGGGCTCTACTCGTTTGCCATCTGTCCCCTTTGACAAGATTTGCCAGTAAATTGTGAATTTCCAAAAACCACAAATTCATATAATTTTTTTTATATAATCCGTTACTTGAGGAACTGAAAAGGTATTACTATATTTATAAAATTAAATAAAATGGGAAATTATCTGCACAGGAACGTAAATAAATGCATTATCAAAAGATGGAAAAAATTAAATTTTATACGATTCATAATTTTAATCTCAGATAAAATTTTAAATTTCAATTAAATAAAAATTAAATTACTTCGATTTGTTTTTCTGTTTATATCTTAATTATTTGAAAAATATTTTACTTTTATTTCTATAATAAAAAAGCAAATAATTTATTTCAATTTTTTTAAAAGAAGAAGAAGAATGTTATTATTTTTCTGAAATTATCCAAAAATCATGTATAAAATGGGGGAAATATTGAAGACAAATATTTGCAAAGAAAACACTAGTTTTAAATGCTTTACTAATTACTAGTACTGTTTGGTCTTCTTCTAAAGTCCCAACGCCCTCTTTATTGCCGAGTCATATGCACCGTTCAAAGACTCTCTCCTTCATCTCTCTCTACTTCTACTGCTTATTCTTCTTCTTTCCCTCATCTTCTTCATCAATGGCTAAAGCCAGTGGACTCTCCCTTGATTTGGATCCCATCTCTCTCTCTCTTCACAACCCACCTGTACTCAACTCTTTCCCCGAAGACAACGTTAAACCCAACCATGCTACAAATACAATAGCTACCATGTCTCCTCCACCCGCCATCGATCACTTCCCCGTTAAACTCAACCGTTCCTATGATCAAAGCCGCCCTTCTTTATTGCCTTTCGATGATAATAAACGAAGGATCGTTGGCGAAAGGGATTTTTTCGCTGAAAAGAATGATCGTAAACTTGTCGTTGATGATGCCGATTCCATGCACACCTCCGATACCGACATCAAAGGTTCCACTGACCGAACTGACCTCGAGCTTAACGTCGACGTCGGTTAACCACCAACCCTTTGTTTCTCTTTCAGAGTTGTGTTTTCGATGGATGGAATTGATGAATCTTGTTTCATTTTTATTTTTTCAGATTGGTTTGAATCTGTTGACTACGAATACCGGTAGCGATCAATCCTCAGTGGATAATAACGGGATTTCTCACGAAATGGTGGATAAAAAATCTAACAATCAGGTGGATATTTAATCTTTGTATGTGATTTTGGAGATGCCAGTACTTGTTATATAGTAATATTGCTGTTTTTGTTTTCAGGTAGTTGTTTTGCAAGATCAGCTGAAACGGGCGAAAGCTGAGAATCAACGGTTAAAAGGGATGCTGGTTCAGGTAACTAAGAACTACAACTCAATTAAAATACAACTGGGTTCCCCGATGCATCGCCGTGGTGGAAAAGTTGAAAAAGCGGAAGAAGAAGAAGATCATATGATTACGGAGGAAAAAATGGAACAAAAGAAACGACATGGAGTACAAATAGATCCGAAACAGTTGATGGATCTTGCTGATGAGCTGTCGTCTTCTTCGTCCGAAAGTAAGAGCCACCATGAGGATAGCTCAGGAATTGCTGATAACAAGGTTCCAAGATTCAATGTTGATCAAACTGAGGCGACAATGAAGAAGGCTCGAGTTTCAGTTAGAGCTAGATCAGAGGCTCCTATGGTATCTAGATTGAATTATTCTTTCTTTCTTTACCTCATTTTCTTGTCTTGTTTGAGTTCTATATTAATTTAGGTTATTGTTTTGTTTTGGAAAGATTACAGATGGATGCCAATGGAGAAAGTATGGACAGAAAATGGCCAAGGGAAATCCTTGTCCTCGAGCGTATTACCGATGTACCATGGCCACAGGTTGCCCTGTTAGAAAACAGGTACAAAGATGCGCAGAAGATCGAACAATCCTCGTCACCACATACGAAGGCAATCACAATCACCCTTTACCTCCGGCGGCAATGTCAATGGCGTCCACAACATCATCGGCTGCACGAATGCTGCTATCCGGTTCCATGTCCAGTGCCGATGGAATAATGAGCTCGAATTTCGTCACAACTCTCCTGCCTTGCTCCTCAAGCATGGCTACCATATCAGCTTCAGCTCCTTTCCCCACAATTACCTTGGACCTTACACAGCCCCCGAATACCTCACAGTTCCCTCGCCTACCAGGCCAGGTCGCGGTCCCGTTTCCAAGCCTCCCATCACCGATCAATCTCGCCAATTCCCCGACCGCCGCGGCATTGTTGCCACAACTTTTCGGCCAGGAACTTAACAACCAATCCAAATTCTCTGGTCTACAAATGTCTCAAGATTTGGAGCGAACCCAATTGCAACAGGGCCAGGAAAATACTTTGGCTGACACCGTAAACACGGAAACCGCTGCCATTGCAGCGGATCCGAGCTTCACCTTGGCTCTAGCCGCCGCGATCACATCTATTATCGGGAGTTCTCAATCTCACCCCTACAATGTCCATAATAGTAATGGTATGAACCTCAACAACAGCAGCGGCAATGCCATCAACGCTAGCAACAGCGACGACAGCGTAGGACGAAGATGAAACGAAATGGACTTTTAGGAAGAAGGCATGCACTTTTATGTTAAAAAAGAAACTGAAAACCATGCATACTTGTTTTTGAGGGTGGGGGTACTAGTAGTATTCTTTAGTTACACGAATAATTTGCTCCAGCTTGTATGTGAATGCATAGTCAGCAGAAGATTACAAATGGTACAAGGCCAAGAAGAACAAGTATTTTGTATGGCTTTGAAAGGAAAGAGGAATCCAACTTTGGTAGTTTGTGCTGTTAGAATAAAGAAAGGATAGTCTTAGTTTAAATCTAAGGTTTGATGTTAAATTTTTAATTTTATATTATATTTATTTTATGGTTCATGATCTTTGTATTTGTTAGTAGAATACGTTTGGTCCTTTGGTTGTGAGCGGTTAACTTCATCTAATTTAAACGGTGAGTCATAATTCGTGAAGCAACGATTGTCGACTAATATTTTTTAATGAAAGGAAATATTAAACAGATAAAAAATAAAGGGATAAAGGAAAAATAAGCTTTTTACTAATGAAATTAGATACAGAGTTATTTTTACTCAGATTATTTGTAAGCTAACAGTCGAGATAAATATTATTATGTGCTAATCAAGTGGTAAAGGAATTATTGTTATTCTTTGAGGGTCCGAATTCGAACACAAAAAATGTCAAAGGTGTGAGCATTCATTCTTAAAAGGTTGATAGTTATATTTAAACATATATTATAATGTATATATCTCATATTATTAAAAAATGATAAATACTATGATCAGAATTTTAAACTTTTCATCTTAAAAATCATGTTTGTATAGTAATTTTTTTTGGTTTTCCCATAGTTCCAAGACTTTGCCCTGACTAATATGGATCGACTCAGTTCGTACACCTAGCTTTGGTGGGTGAGTCTTCTAGTGAGATTTTTACACTAATTGATTTGAGAGGTTTGCACACTAATTGATTTGAGAGATCAGTGGCGGAGCCACGACTTGCTTAGGGTGGGCACTAAAATAAGAATTTTCTTTGATTTACTTATCTGTCAACAAAGACCTTCGAGTTCGATTACACTCAGCTCAAAGGCACATCATTTGCAGCATAGCTTAAGGTGAGAAGGGCTATCTGCCAACCAAGGACCTTTGAGTTCGATTACACTCAGCTCAAAGGTACATCATTTACAGCATAACTCAAGGCGAGAAGGGTTATCTGTCACCAAGACCTTCGAGTTCGATTACATTCAGCTCAAAGGCATATTAAATTTACAGCATGACTTAAGTCGAGAAAAGCTATCCATCGACAAAAATTGTTGAGTTCGTTTCCATTCAGCTCGACGACACATCAACCACATGGTGGAGTCAAAAATCTATTTTTCAGTCGAATTTTTAAACAAAGTCTTTAAACCGAGAAGAAAACCGAAGTTGACTACAATTTGGCAACGAGAAGCCGTATTTCAATTCAATTTCTGGACTCTGACTTCAATTCCATTTCAAGATAGACTCGACTTCGCGATGGAGGAGTCATCCGTAACTCAACTCGACAGGGAGTCATTCTTAATTGAATTATCAGACTCTACCGAACGAAAATTTGTGTCATTTTATCTTTGTCCTATTTTTCATTCCACGAAAAAGAACAAAGAGGGGCAGTTGTAAACACTTATTTTCGTCTATTTTTATTATTTATTATATATATATTATATAGTTTGCAAATGATTTTGAAATATATAATATATATAGTTTTGAAAAACGATTTTTTTAAAATAAATATATATTATAGTTTGAAATCATTTTGGAAATTATATAATATATGGTTTTTAAAAAAATATTTTGAAAATATATATTATATAGTTTTTTAAAACAGTTTGCAAACTTATATAATATATAGTTTTAAAAACATTTTCTTGAAAAATTATATAACATATGGTTTTAAAAATATTTTTTGAAAACTTATACAATATTTTTAAAATCATTTTTGAAAACTATATAATATATAGTTTTGAAAACTTTTTTTAAAATATAATATATAGTTTAAAAATATTTTTGAAGTATATATTATATAGTTTATATTATATTATTAATTATTATATTATTATTATTATTTATTTGTTTTATTAATTATTTTTTATTTTCTTTTCTCGAAATTTTGTTCAGGTCCAAAGTTGAGGTCCGAATAAAGGGTCCAAGCAATCCAAGAACTGGGCCTGAACCAGCCCAGCAGCAAGCTAGGGTTTTATCAAGACCAGCGCCGCACGGTTCATAACCGTTGGATCGAGACGAAGATCAATTACCAAGGTTGCAAAAAGCTACGGTTTCATTTAACCCTCATCTCGCCGCAGTCAGATCTAGACCGTTGGATATGACCCTATCCAACGGTCGAGATTAAATCCGGGAAGATTCCAGAAGCCTAAACACCACCAACGGCAGAGCCAGTCAACACCGTGATTTCCAACCGAGGAAATCAAGACTAACCCATCCCCAAATCCCTGGCCAAGAACGAGCGTGTTACAGTGATCATCGGAATGACCACCGGTGGAGGGTATAAATACCCCCCACCAAGCCACTGCCAAGATCAACACAGAGAGAACAAAGGAAGCCGAGAACCCATCGCAAAACAACATCACAACATCGCAACCGAAGAAAAATCGAGAGCCATCGAGACACAATAGTGACAACAACGGTGCCACATAAACAAAAATAAAACCATCAACCTACCACAACAAACCAACATCAAAACGGTAAACACAACAAAGCCAAGCAAACCAAAAAACGAAAGACATCGGAAGCGGAAAAGTCACTAAAAAACGGTAAAAAATAGAAGCTTCCCTTTTAGATCTAGGCCGATTGAGGCCATTTTATGGTGATTGGTTGCTAGATTCGGGATTTGGGAGAAAAAGGCTTTCGAAAGAGGGTAGTTTTTGGGTCTCCGGCCACTGTGGGTGGTGGCCGTAACGATTTCCAGCATGCGGCAGTACGACGGAGTTGGCCATCGGAGTGGTGGTCGGGTTTCCACCGGGGAAAGGGGTGTTGAGAGAGTTTGAGAGAGGAGGGAAATGTTACTTTGGGGAGAATGAGTAAAATAAGGTGTTTGGGTTTTTTTTAGTTTTATACCTGGCCCATTATCGACCTGCGACCCAATCCAGAGAGCAAAGGATCCGCGTGTTTTCGTGAATAAAGGGGGGAATTGCAATTTTGGTCCCCCTATTTTTTATACATTTTATTTTGCCCCTGAATTTCATTCCTTCTTCAATTTACTTTGAGATTGACCCTTAAATTTGATTTTTATTTCAATTCAGTCCCTTTTATTATTACTATATATATATTTATTTGTTTCTTTATTTATCATTAGCATTATTATTATTATTATTATTATTATTTTTCATGTATTTTATTTTTTTTATTTTATTTTATCTCATTTTATTTCTTCGATTTTTTCTATGTTTTATTTATTTTTTCCTTCTCTTTTGATTTTATCATTATTATTTTTATATTTTTCTTTGATCTATTTAACATTTATTTATTATTTCTTGACTAATATTCTCGATCCCTATTTTAGAGAAATTCCAATTATCCAAGGTAAGTAATTCGAATTGAATATTTCAAATTTTAATTTAAATTTCTAATTTTCGCAATTAAGACAACCGAAAAATTAGTTGGTACCGAAAGGGCGGTTCAAGAGTGTTAATCTTTCCTTGTCCGTAACCGACTCCCGAACTCGACACATTTCTGGTAAAACGCAGATCAGGTAAGATGGTGTCTGATCTACCAAAATATCGTTTTAAAATGATTGGTGGTGACTCTAACCTATTTACTCAAGTCGTAGCCCAATTCCGGGCCCACCCAAAAGACGGCCACGACACTTATTTCACTGATGGTGCTCACCCTGAAATGTTTCGTACCCACCCTAAAATATGAGTTTTCTTCAATTAGTTACTTATTTTACGGGTGATGTACATCCTAAAAATTTATTTGTACCATTTCCATTTAAAATTTTTATGTTAACATATGTGTGCTCATCTTGAAAAATATTTCTGGATCCGTCACTGTAAAATATATTTGATAACTTCTAGTGAAGATAAATATTAAAATTTTGGAGATTGAGTCTCCGAACGATATAACAATATTATTACTTATATTTTTAAAATTTAAACGGAATGTATATATAAGGAAAATATCGATTGCTTAAAAAAAGAAAAAAGAAGAAGAAAGTATTGATTTATTTAAAAAATTTCTTCAAACGAAAATAATTATAAGACTGAGATGAATGAAGGGAGCATTCAATTAATCATCGCTTGAAGCTTCGTGCAATGCAGGAAATGATGAGTAAGTTGGAGACGTGAATAAAAGAATTTGAAGGTGATTTTAATTTATCGATATGTTTGATAGACTATAATAGTTTTTTTTTAATAATTTACATAAAATGAGTTATTTGAAAACTATTTTACGTAAAATGAATTACATACAAAATGTTTTACTTTAGCAGAACTAACGGAACCCATGTCGTCGGTGCTTCTCAGGCGTCCTCTTTCCTTCACCGACTGTTCTCACTCTTTTATCTCTCTATGGGTGCTGTTTTCCTCTCTGATTCATGGATTGGAGAAAGCTTTTCGGCTGTCAATAGGGGCACGAGCTTAAATTCTTTCCACCAAAATCTCACAATTCCAACCCCATCATTCAGTCTCCTCCATAAGTTTTTGAAGCTGGGATTATCGTATGGAGGACATCTCTCGTGGGTCAATTCCTTGGGGCTGCATCAAATTTCACTTCTATGAAGAGGATGATTGAGAATCTGTGGAATAACCCAACAAAGGGGATTCGTGTCCAGGTGAGTTTCACAAGTAGTAACTTATATTTATTCACTTTCAATTCTGATTCTGCAGGAAATTAGGTTATGGAAAATGGTCCTTGGGACATATTAAACAAGCCTCTAATCTTAAGGAAATGGGAGCCTAACTCAACTAGACTGCACTTTGATCTTTCTCTTATTCCCTTATGGGTTCATCTATATAATGTCCCGCTTGAATTCTTTTCAAGAGAGGGTCTAAGTTATATTGCTAGTGCAATAGGAATCCCTCTTTCGATGGATTCTATCACAGCTTCAAAGACACGATTAGAATTTGTTAAAATCTGTGTGGAGGTAGGAGTAAAGGATGAAATTCCTAAAACCATTGATGTGATCCTTACTAATGGCCAATCTACTTCTGTCTACGTTGAAGTACCTTGGTTTCCTTCAATCTGCAAACGATGCAATACTTTTGGTCAC